CAAGTACAATAATACACATAAAAATTATTAACCGAAAAAAAAATGTCACAACCATTAATCAATATTAACCATTAGCAGGCGTGTCAATAAAAAAAAAAGTGTGAAAATACAGATAAAATTTTCAAATGATTTTAAAATGTCATGTTTTTTAAGTCACCCACAGATTAACAAATGGTCTCCTCCCTCAGCTGCTTCATCCACCGTCATTTTTCTTATTTTACTGACTTGTTTTTCCCACCCATTCTATCTTATTTTCCCACTCACTTACCCCTCTCTTTAAATAAGAATATATTTGATGAATAATGCTACATTTGGTACTTAATATAAAAACTAATTAGGAGTTAAATTTGGTCATAAATATAACATATGAGCCTGCTTTATCTCTTATATTTATAATTTTTTAAACTAATTCATTTTAACTTATCAACTAATATATAATTTAACGTTGTGTATATCAGTATTTTAAGGAGATCGTATCCCATTTTGTTATAATTCACAAATTTATTTAATTTTTTTAATTGATCCAAATTAATCAAATAGAATTAGAGGGAATATGTTTTCCTTTTAACAAAGACAAAATGCATTAAATAAAAAGAAAGTTTTACCGGGCTAAATAAAGATCCAAAGGGAAGTATTTTTTATAATCTAACTTGATTATTGACCGACTACGTGAATGACAACATCTCTATAATTTTTGCCTATGTAATATCAAATATCATACTATTCTGGGAATTTATGAATTGGGTCAATAAAGTTTATAGGTACGCAGCATTCGTATCCTCACCAACCATTTCATGAGCTCTTTAAATGTAAATCAACAACTAATTAGCAAAGCAATGAATTTTTTTTATTTTTTTTGGCAAAAAACAGAGTCCATTTTATTAATAGTAAAAAAAACAGATTTTTTTTTATTAAGAAGATTTGAATTCTTAATTTATATCCACATTTTACGCTATTCTTATAACTTGAATTAGCTTGAAATGTGATGGGAAAAAAAAAAAGAACTGGCTCGCAAAACACTAGCTAATTTATAACTTACTGATATAACTTGTTATAATTTAATTGTCATATTTTTCAACTATATATATTATTAAAAACAAAAACTTCATAATATGTACCATCAATAAAAAAGTTTGGAGAAAAATTATATAAATTTGGATGAGATTTTATATTTAAAATAAAAAATAAACTTACTAGGTACTTCTTACATTTAAGATTAGGGGAAGTAATTTTTATATATCTTTGTGCTTCTCCTCTCTCCCTTTGTCCTTAAGGTGTTGGAATTTTTTTTGTAGCCAAACTCGAGGTTGGAGTTGAAGATCACACATTTTATTATATGTTTGGATGACTTTGTGCTTTACCCAATTCAATAGGTTTTGATCAGAATCCATCCGAATGATAACCCACCTATGATAATAAAGATTTTAAGGTAATTCTATGGTAAGTCTATTCTATTAGTTTTATTCAACACCTTTGTGAGATGACATCTCATTCTCTTCCACTTTAATCTTCATTCTTTCTGCAAACTGCAAAAGGCAAATTCTCCACAAGACCAGAGGAAAGGTGAAAGAACCAACACATGAGGAATTAATTAATATATCATTTTAATGTAAAAATATCAAATTTCTCTCTTTATTTTGAAAGTGACTTTTCTTCAATAGTATCTCCCCCTCTCAAATATACTTAGCGCCAACCTTCCTCACCAATATCCTAATAAAGAGTTTCCTTGAATTTTCCCCCACTATTACTCCTTTTTTTTTTTCCCAAGAGAAAGGATCGAAATCTGTGTTTTTCCTGTAGAGATATTGCTGATAAGACAACAGAAAAATTGATGATTTTTGTGGAAACATACATACGCAATAGCAACTCTTTATAACAAGTGGGTTTGCCTTTAGATATATTAACTAATCATCAAATTTTAATCACATTATTCATATCAGTTTTTATTTGATTAAATATATTTTTAAATCATTTTGGATTTGAGATTGATCTGATTCGAGATTTAGAATGCAAAAGGTTTTCATATCTCTCAATAAATATGTTTCTCAAAATTTGAATTTGTGTTATATATATTTATATTTTTATGGAGTGAGGTCACTTATAACTTTATAGGTAACAACTTATTGACTTATTCATATCATTTTTTAATAATGTATTTTATTGATGAGATTTTATGTGGAATACTAGTCTCACATGTAGTTATTAATTGAATATAATCCACCATATTCATGCGAAAAAGGTTGTTAGCATTGAGCATAGGAGAGCCTTGTGAAAAAGCAATGAAAACAAGAGATGTGATAATTGTTGAAAAGCTTTTATTGTGTCAAAGATTGTAACATAACAACCAAGAAAGTCTAGAGTTTGCCAAGTCTTTGTGGCCACATGACAAGGTGGAGAAGACCAATGAAGAAAAAACTGGACCAAAAGGCCGGTTCAACCGAAAAAACCGGTGAACTAGCCTCCAGTCCGGTCTGGTTTGAAGAATAAACCGATTTCAAATCAAACCGGAATGAACCGAAAAAAACCGGAAAAAACCAGTAAGAACTGGCAAAACCGTTGGGTTGGGTGGGTTGCCGGTTTTCTTTTCCTTCCCTTCTTCTTCTTTACTCTTACCGTCTCACCGCCAAAGAAGACATGAACATGATTGAGAGAAGTGGTAGAAGCAAAAAAAATCATGGAAAGAAAGATACATTTGGAAGCCTCTTGTGTGCAGTCTCAACCCTGTGCTTGTCAAAGAGTTGAAGGCAAGGAGGAGGATAAATACCAGAGTAGAATAGATGTGCAGAACGAAAGAAAAGGTCACTATTTATCTTCTCTATCTGAGAAAGAAAGAAAGATGAAGAGGGAGGAACAACTTTCAGGCTTTGAAGTTTTGAATAAAAAAGAGAAGAACCAAGATAAAGTACTCGGCTGTTCATAAGGAAAGAGGAAGAAAAAGTCAAAAAGGTGACCTTGTGATGGACATTCACGTGAGAGAGAGAAGGAAGAGATAAAAGTGTAACCTATAAAATAATAAATAAAAAAAAGAGGATTGTATTCGATCATATGAGGAAATCAAGAAAAAGACGGAGAAAAGAGAAAAAAGAAATAAGAATAAGAATAAAAATTATACACATAAATATTTTATAATTAAATTATATTATTTTAATTTTTACCGGTTTAACCCGGTCTAATCCCGATGTGACCCATTAACCTTTAACCCACTATCTTGATCAGTTTAGTGTCCAGTCCGGTTTTTTTTCCAGATAGAGAGAGTGGCGAAAAAGATGGGCATGAATTGGAGTGGAGCATTAATTATTTGCAGTATTACGTTCTAGTTGAATGGTATAATCAATTGATGTTTTCAAAAATGGGAAAGGTACAAACGATATTTCCTCAAATAAATAAGAAGGATGATGATGAGGGTAATTATAATAATAACAATAATGATTTCAAACCAATCCAGCCAACAAGTCAAAAGAAGACAAATCCAACAATTAACCCGGCCATACCATCAACATCAATTTTCGTTTATAGGAGCAAGGACCAGACATCAATAAAAGAAATTATCATACGGTTAAACATTTCCTATCAAAGAAACCAAACAATAACGGCAGTACCATTGTCCATAATACCAAACTTTTTTTTTTTTGGTGAAATCCATAATACCAATTTGGTGTGTACGTATATTCTCTCCCGCACCACACACAAACGTACCCATATATGGTGATACTTGTTTGGATACATTTATGTAAATTAAACAAAACTCCTCTCATATACTTTTTTGGTACACCATAAATCAGGATTGAAAAGTTCCTGCCAAAGCAATGGTTTAACGCCAATATAAGATATAATTAATTGAGGGAGAAATTTCACACAGAGAAAAGAATTCGTAGATGCAATCATTACCATCAAACCAATATTAATCATAAACCCCACTGTATTAAGAGCAATCAACTATTCTTTTTTTGGCAAATCAACTATTTCTTTTTTCAGTTCAACTTGAACGAGACAGTACCCAAAAAACAAAAGTCAAGAATAAGACACAAAATAAACCATTGCACTAAATTATGCCACTCCATCATATATACGTGAAGATTCTATATGCCGCCATCATTAGCTTCTATTTCGAATTGCGTATTGCCATATAAGCATTAATCAAAACACCATTTCGCTTACCCTTCTTAAAAAGACAAAACAGGAACCATAGCTTCTTTTTTTCATGTTTGAAACCCCCAATTTTGACAGCTAAGAATAACTAAGAATTGAATTAACCTTCGCAATAGCTTGCTATCACTAAACAAGGAAATTAATCAAAAGCCACTCATGCCTATTGGAATATATAAGTCTGAGTTTGAGGAGTAAAAGTGCGTCATTTAACGAGTTACTAGAATAGACACAAGGAATTATGGTTAGCTCCTTTACTCACATATTAGATCCATCCGAGCAAAACGCTAAATAGACGCTCACATGTCTATCCAAGTATCTGCTGAACCCGGGAATGACCCATAACTAACTACTACTTCCAATCCTTAATATAAGAATTGGTTGACTAATTTGAGTAGATTAAGTAAATTAGTTAAGTTAGTTATTTGTAATAAATATGTGTTGTCTTCTCTAAAATATCCTTACTAATTATGTGTATTAGTTAGAACTACTATGTGATGAAACATTTAACATTTGTAGCTATTACAAGAAATACCTTGAAAAAATAGATAAATATGAGAGATAAAGTATATTGGCATTTTATATATAAGACCAAATTGAAAGTCAAACTAACTCCTGTATTAATGATCGGAAATAATGATATCAAATTTAGTCCTCACTACTTAATATAATAGCGAACTAATTAGCCCTTATACATCTATTTTTTGGGATTTAAAGGGGCAATCTGAGATTTCAAATAAGATCAAACCCATAACTTTCTACTTACAATAAGAACTTATATGTCATTAGACTACAATTTTTTAAGTAGTGACAAGTGCGGACTAAATGTCTATTCAAAATTAAATCCAACAGACAGGCCCAAGAATAGAGTGCAAAGCCCGAAATGCCTTCGGCCCCCCTGCTCTGTGATCGAGTTCGTTTGTTCCCGGGGGCGAGATGCTGAGAGGGATCGACGAGGGATTGGATCAGATGGATGGAGCCGTTGCCAGCGGTGGTGATCGGCATCCCTGGTGGTGGGCTCTTGCAAGTGCGACTCAGTTCGGGTGGGGCATGCTCCCTCCTTCCCTTATTATAATACTCCTCCGGTCCTTAATATAGGACCCAATTGGTGAGTTGGTTTTGGTCCTAAATATAAGACTCATTTCTCATATTTATCAATTATCTCTAAATTACCCCTATAGATACCCTTTCAACCATAATCAAGTAGAAGAGAAAGATGAGGTATTAAGAAATATGATTATGGTATTTTAGGAAAAACGTGTCATATTTTTTATAATTAACTAACTTACCTAACTTCCTTAATCTAATCAAATTAGTTGAATGGGTCTTATATTAAGGACCGGAGGAGTATCATTTTAGCTAAATTATGTGGTTTAAAAAAACAGTTAAATATAGTTTAAACCAATTAATATATAGAAAATATAATTTTTTTAAATATATATAAATATATAAATGGGTAAATGTGAGAGTTATAGTGAGATAAATAAAGAAAAAAATTTATTAAATGCATTAAATTAGAGATAAAATATGTAATAATATTTTAAATACTCAAACAAACTCAAAAAGAATATTATAAAAAGGATAGATCCATCCAAAAAATTAGATCTTATAATAAAAGACAGAAAAGTATGTTTTTACGCTAAAGGATATCCCAGAGATTCACGCCTCATGCCATTCAAGGCCTTCGTCATTGCATCTCTCTTCGTCGGCGCCGCCGCCTCTGCCTCCTTCGGTGTCCTTCAAGCTCGCGGCATCCATAAGATATCATCTATCATCCATAAGATATGATAATAAAGATCGTAAATTGTATTAACTCACTAAGATTTACAGCTGTGGGGAATTTATCAATCTCAGTTCTCTCTTCTCTCCCCATTCTTAATTTCTATTTGGTTCCTTATTATTGATATCAAATTTCGGCAGTCTTTTCGGCCATTTCTTATAATACTCGCTACTAAAGAATAGGAGACGCACTTGTTACTAAGGATAAATCATTAAACTACAAAAAAAAAGACTTTAAGCGACGACTTTCAATGGCAACTTTTTTTGTCGCCGCTAAAAGTATACCTTTAAGAATCATTGGGTTCACTTTCAGCGGTGACATTCTATGGTCACCGCTGAAAGTAGACTTTCAGCAGTGACTATTGGTGTCGCCGCTAAAGGTCTGACTTTTAGCGGCAACATTTTATTGTTGTTGCTGAAAGTCTACTTTTAGCGGCGACTATTGGTGTCGTTGCTGAAGGTCTAACTTTCAGCGACGACCATAGAATGTCATCGCTGAAAATATACCTTTGAGTGGAAGGTGATGTAACCACTGGGTTCACTTTCAGCAGCGACTATTAGTGTCGCCGCTGAAGGTTTGACTTTTAGCGGCGACTTTATAATGTCACCGTTGAAAGTCTAATATAATAATATATATATATTATTTTACAATATTAATAAACAAATTCAATTTGGCTCAACGGCAAGAAAATTGAAACCGAAAGAAGGTGGTCACGAGTTCGAACCTTGAAGAAGACGCATTTAAGGTGAAAACATTTGGACGATGATGTGGTGAGGAGGAGTGATGTGACAATGACGTGGCACCTGGTCAATGATGAGGTGGTGGCTGGCGGTAATGACGTGACATTGGTAAAGCCAATTCTTCTTAGCTATCACTTTTAGCGGCGACAAAAAAGTCGTCGCTAAACATCCTTTTTGGCTGCAACAATTCTTTTAGCGGCGACAAGAATATCGCCACTAAAAGTGTCTTCCAGCTAAAAGTCGTCGCTGAAAGTTTTCAACCACGGTTGCTGCAGCAACGACTTTTCAACGGCGACAAGTCGCCACTGAAAACTTTCAACGGCGACTTTTTGTGGCCGTTGAAAGTCAATTTTTTTGTAGTGTTATGAAGTGCTATAGTGATTAAAAGAAAAAAAGAAAACAAAAGAAAGAAATAGGAGACTCATTTTATTATCTATCTGCTTTGTATATGGCTGGTCCTACTTGTGGGGGAAAAACTTGTCCATTCATTATTGTCTGATTTGTGGGACTACCTACGGTTGTCTAGATTTCTTCCAAATGTGTCTTTGGACAACTATATTAAAGATGTTGCCCAAATAAATTTACCACAATGCCCTTTCATGTTTCAACCTTATCAAGATACGAGAAGTGACAATCATTTTGCTCCAAGTATCTTATTACTATTACAATTTTGTCGTGTTTGTATCATCTCAGATCTCATACGGATCTACTTCATCAGCATCTTGTGCACCTTTAATAAACTTGAAAATCAGTCCCCAAAAAAGAAACTTGGAAAAAAAAAATACAAGTATATATGCAACCCCCCAGGTGTTTCTTCGAAGTCTTCTCTCTCTCCCTCCAAGAAAATATACAAGTATAAACTTGAAAATCACTCCCCAAAAAAAATATGGATGAGCCGTCTGAAATCTGAGTTGCAGGAATAATTTCCTTAGCTCTGTATATAGAGAGAGAGAGAGAGAGAGAGAGAGAGAGAGAGAGGATCTTTAATGTGTTGCGTGGAGAATTCTGACGACGGCGCCATATAGTTCCTGGTTTTTAATGAATACTAGATTATTTCCGAGGGGTGGACCCAGATACTTCACATCGTTACTCGTTCTGGTTCAAAATAAACTAAACTTTTTTTAAAAGTGTTGATTTTTTTTATAAGATAACATTTATTTTTATCCAAATATTTAATGAGTTTTTTCTAATTTTATCCCTGTATATTCTGTTTTCTCTTTAATTCATTTATTATATCTTTTACTTATTTTCTTTATTAATAAGGGTATATTAGGAAAAACAAATATATGCCTTAGACATTTATTGTTTTAAATTAATTTTAATTAGTTTCTTAATAAACGTAATAGATAAAATTTAGCTTATATTTTGAATTGGAAGGAGTATTATTAAAGAGAAAGTTTAATTTGCTCGGGATTAGGTGGAAGAAAAGAACAGAAAAGAAAAGAGCACATGCTTGAAATGAAATGCAATGTTTAATTTCATTCAGCAAATTATGTTTGACATGTTAAAAAAACAAAGGGGAAACCCTGTATAATGAAGTTAAATTTTTTTATATTTATATTTAAATAACGAAATGAAATTTTTGTAATGAGAAAAGAAAAATGAAATTCCTGGTTTAAAAATAATGTTCCATAAGTAATACTCCCTCCGTTCCTTATTATAAGAGACAAATAACCGAAGTACGTTGATCAAAAAAACAGTTAAAATTAGTTGAGAATAATTAATATGTAAAAAGTATAATTTTTTTTCAAAAATGCACTCATTAATAAGAAAAGAGAGCATGAGAGATAACAATTAAATTATTAAAAGAAAGACAAATGGGAGGGAGAGAGAGTGTGAGTTGGAGATAATAAATATGGGTAAAATAGTAAATCAACACAAAAAAGTAGAGACAACTTGTAAGTGTCTCTTATATATAGGAACATGCCATAAGCATCAAATGTCTCTTATAATAAGGAACGGAGGGAGTAACTATTAACATTCTTGCGAATCAAAATTCAAGTACTGGTGCCAAAGAAATAAAAATAGATATCAAAATTTCAGTTTGTCATTTGGAGCTTGACGAAGCAATAACAATAAAATAAAATGTGATTAGATATCAAGGGTATAAATTCTTTTATTGAAATAAAGAAATAGCATTTGGAATTTTTAGCTAATTTAACTCAAGATTTTAAACTTGTATGCAAATAAAATTGGCATGCGTTTTGATTTTTTACCCCTAACTTCAATAAAAGGTGGGAGCCTAACTTATTCCAAATAATGAAAAAGAGCCTCGCTAATTAGTGTTTGTACTTTTCATATGGGATAAGATGATTATATATCCCAAAAATGTTTATAAAGCAGTACCCAGTATTTGAAATCTTTTTTTTTTTTACCTTTATATGTCTTGGAAGTTTTATTTTGGAGCATTTCTATCTTGAACTTTTATCCGTCATTATGTTTGACTGTTAAAGACACTGGTCAAACTATATAATTGAACGATCAAACTTAATGATGAATAACGATCAGGATATTTTTGCTATGAAAATAAATTTTTAAGGCATATAAAAGCAAAAAAAGAAAAAAATTCAGGTCCTAAATGCTCCTTTATAAATACTTCCAGAGTATTTAAGCGCGTTATCCCTTTTCATATTAGTATGTTAGACTTAACTTTAAATATCATGTTTTTATCTATCTTGCCTTGCATATTCATCAACCGTGTTAGAATTGGGACTTCTTTGGAATCACATTCATAAACACTTATTAGCACTTGAGTTGAGATAAAATTTATCTTACTTATTTATTTCGTATTTTGTAAATTAATTGAAATGCTGCTTATAAATCATTCCAAAAGGTTTCAAAACGTTGGCGGTTTATTCTATCCATATTTTATACTCCCTCTGGTGCTTATTATTCAAATAACTAATTTACAGATAACGAACAATAATTTTAAATTAGTTAAAAGTAATAAATATGTTAGAAATATAATTTTATTTTCAAATATATCTTTATAATAAATAAGGAAAAGAATGAAAAAGAATATATGGGAAGACATAACAAGAAGGTATAGCAAAAAAGAGAAAATAAATAATTAAGAATAAAATTATAAAAAAATATATTAAATATTTAGACAACAAGTCAAAACTTATAAATAAATCATATACTTGAAGTTTATAAATAATATTGGGAGTATTAGTAGGCGATGAATTTGAGTAACGTCACCCGTATCATTTTCGCATGTGTCATCCTAATTCTGCGGGGCATCGAATCCACTAGAGGAGGAGCAAGTGACGTTTGTAACAATAATGATGCTCTGTCACCTCTTGAGCCGTAAGATAGTGTGCCTCCGGATTCCACGTTATAACCCATGTGCCTTCAACGAATACATTAGTATTGTTGACAAAAAAAAATTGATTTAAAAATATATGCTTGTCTTATCTTATTTATAAAATAGAAAAAAAAATTTTAGATCATATTTATAAGTTATTTTATTAAATTTTTATGTAAATCTATTATTTTATTTTTTATTTATTATAATATAAATAGTTATTTTTTGAAGGATATATATATTAAATAAGGATAAATTTGAAAAGTTGTTACATTTTAATTGAGAGTTAATCTATTTTAAGATTTTTCTTATTATATATGACATATGTTGAAAATGCTTTATAAATAGAACTAGATGAGTATTTTTTTGATACAATAATTTTAATACTACCTTCAATTTTATTTATAATACCTTGTTTATAAATAAGACCGAAAGTAGTGTAGTACTATCAAAACATAAATGAATGCTCATCCGAGTGATTTGTCACATTCAAGTGGTTGTAATTAAAATCAATTTAGATTCACGTCAGTTATCATAGACGTTTTTGCTATTATTAGGTAGGTGTGTGGTATAAATTTGATTTAAGGTATAAATTTACGTGCAAAGTATTATTCTACACTACCAAACATCATAATGGTGTTTCAAGTAAAAAATACACATAAAAATTATTAACTGCAAAAAAAAAAAATCACAACCATTAATCAATATTAATCATTAGCAGACGTGTCAATTAAAAAGAAGTGCAAAAATACACATAAGATTTTTAAATGATGTAAAAATGTAATGGTTTTTGAGTCACCCACAGACTAACAAATAGTCTCCGCCCTCAACTGCTTCAGCCACCGTCATTTTTCTTATTTTACTGATTTGTTTTTCCAACCAATTCTATCTTATTTTCCCACTCACTTACCCCTCTCTTTTTTTTTTTTGGTCAACACTTACCCCTCTCTTTAAATAAAAATATATTTGATGAATAATGCTATATTTGGTACTTAATATAAAAATTAGGAGTTAAATTTGGTCATAAATATACATGTTTTATCTCTTATATTTATATTTTTAAACTAATTTATTTTAACTTGTAAACTAATATATAATTCAACGTTGTATATATGAATATTTTAAGGAGATCGTATCCCATTTTGTTATAATTTACTAATTTATTTAATTTTTTAATCTATCCAAATTAATCAAATAAGATTAGAGGAAATATGTTTTCGTTTTACCAAAGACAAAATGCATTAAACGAAAAGAAAGTTTTACCAGGCTGAATAAAGGTCGAAAGGGAAGTCTGCTTTTATAATTTAAGTTGATTATTGACCGAGGACGTGAATGACCACATCTCTATAATTTTCGCATACGTTATATATCAAATATCATACTTCTCGGAATTTATGAATTGGGTCAATAAAGTTTATAGGTACGTAGAATTCATATCCTCACCAACCATTTCGTTATCTCTTTAAAGGTAAATCAACAACTAATTAGCAAAGAATTGAATTTTTTTTTATTAAGAGGATTTGAATTCTTCATTTATATCTACATCTTACCCTATTCTTATCACTTGAATTAGCTTAAAGTGAGACGGCCAAAACAAAACGGGAAAAAAAAAAAGGAACTAGCTTGAAGTGATTAGCATGCAAAACACTAGCTAATTTATAATTTACTGATATACCCGTAACTTGTTATAATTTAATTAACATATTTTTCGGCTATATATATTATTAAAAACAAAAACTTCATAATATGTACCATCAATGAAAAAAATGTTTGGAGAAAAATTATATAAATTTGGATGAGATTTTATATTTAAAATCAAAAAAATAAACTTACCAGCTACTTCTTACATTTAAGATTAGGGGAAGTAGTTTTTATATATCTTTGTGCTTCTCTTCTCTCCTCCTCCGTCCTTAAGGTGTTGGATTTTTTTTTTTTTTTTGATAACCAAACTTACGGTTTTATTATATGTTTGGATGACTTTGTGCTTTACCAGTTCAATAGGTTTTGGTCAGAATTCACCCGAATGATTAACCCACCTATGATAATAAAGATTTTAAGGTCATTCTATGGTAAGTCTATTCTATTAGTTTTATTCAACACCTTTGTGAGATGACATCTCATTCTCTTCTACTTTAATCTTCATTCTTTCTGCAAAGGCAAATTCTCCGCAAGACCAGAGGAAAGGTGAAAGAACCCACACATGATGAATTAATTAATATCACTTTTATGTGAAAATATCAAATTTGTCTCTTTATTTTGAAAGTAACTTTTCTTCAATTCACACTTTCTGAGGAAATCGGAAGACAGGTTGAGGTTGTCGACAATATCATACATCATAAAGTGAGAAAAAAAAACTGTTGAACACTTTTTTGCTATGCGTAGTATCCTCCCATTCGACATACTGTCAGGTATTAAATGTGGATAATAGGAATTCAAACATACTGTTCAACATATTGTCAGGTACTAAATATGGGTAAGAGACCAGCCTCTTCCAAAAAACCTAATTCATTGATTGTTGTATAATTTTTAACATTCAAAAAAGTTTTTTTTTTAGGTTTAAAAACTCTTTGCTTTATTTTTATCTTATGTCAGTTCATTGAGAACAATTTCCTAGAAATAAAGTGGCACCATGAATGCTTTATTTATAAATTACACAAATAGATGATGGCTAAGTCTTACAACACATCCACAAATAATACACGCATTGCTAAGATTCGTGAAACACTGAACAAAACACCAGCAAGAAGATGATTCTACAACCAAACTTGACCCAAGGGGAAGATCATTTCACGTTATTTTATCACAAAACACACCCATTAATTGGTTTCCTAATTATAATTCAAATTATAGATACTATATGCTACATTATATAACTAATTAAGGTTGCCGGCCGCCTGCTTCAAGGTCGAGGACCAATCTAACAACTCGCCAGAAGTTGAAGATTGTGAATACGAGGACAGCCGTTGCGACCAAAGTAGAGCTTGCTCTCCAAGCATCTCTAAAGTAAACTAACCTCAATGCAGCCATAGTACGATTCCATTGTCTCTGGTAATGTTTGTTCAGACTATCTATAAGTCCTCTATAACATGTCTTGTCTGTGACAACATGTTTGCAGAGACTATTCACCAACGTTGCAACTTCCTTGTCGCTTCCAAGTTCATGGACGATGACTTCCTTCTCAACCAACAATTCAACATCGTCCTTGGTGTGAATGAGAGAGTCAATGAAGGAGACGTAGTTGCAAATGTAAGGTTGATTTGGGTAATGACACTGCTCGAAGGCGATCAGATTCCTCAGAACACATTCGGTTGAGTCTTCTATTTTTAACTCTGGGATTTGTAAACGAGCTTTGAAGTGAGTGAAATTTGGAATACAACCTAGACACAGAAACCAGCTTAAGGGTCGAACTTTCTCAAAATTTATGTCAAGTAAGGGCCTGTTGATGACTTTCTCAAAGCTCACTCCTGCTTGCCGCAACTTTGTTGCAGTGCTTAAGGGAGACCCTTTTTTGCAAGCAATAAGACCCTTACAAATGTAGGAAGACCTACAAATGTAGAAAGACCTAGTCAAACCAAATCAACACAAAACATGTCAGTCAGTGAACACCATAGTATCGTATGTACATTAAACTTGTTATTTGGATTCTGCCATTAAATTTTCAACGATAATAATGCTCCAAATGGCTAATCAAGTGTTACGATTTAATTATGACAATATCACCAAAACTTGTAGGAACGCAGCACTATAAGCAACAAACAGTATATTATAGCCGATCAGTCATTAATTAGTCCTTGAAAACAGCAATAGCATGCTGATAAACAGTAGTAATATTGAAAAATGCGTACCTAATCAGATCAGTGAAATGTTGTGGTTTACTATCCCAGAAAAGACACCGGTTGGAATTTGAGCTTCTAGTTTCTTGTTTAGAAGGGTCGCCCTTTTTACAGGCATGAAAACAGTCGAAATAGTCATGGGCAAGTCCAATAAATGAGGGTCGCTTCTTACAAGGGTCTGTGTCAGGGAAAACAGTCTTGTACAGCTTTTTTAAGATGAACATTGGGATCTGGTTTTCAAGCAGAAGCAAGTCTCTCTGGATACTCTTGTTCAGCCATGATTGTTTCAGTATAATATCATCTGAATATGTTTGATCGGTCAGTTCGTCATCATTCCTGTCCTCTTCTGATTTTTGCCTTTGAATCCTCAGAAACAGCTCCATGATGAATACAGAATCTAATAACATCATATCCACCAACTTTTCGTCATGGATCTTATCACAGAGCTTTTCTGCATAACATTGGCGTATGTCTTTTACTTGATCTTTAAGGAACCTCTTGAAATTGTCCATGGCTTCAGGAGTGTTCTTGATACGACCCCTGAAGAAATCAAGGTATCGTAGTTTCTGCTTTTGCATTGGCATTGGATTGAACTCTTTTTTTGGGTCTTCTTTTGGGCCTTCTTTTGGGCATTCTTTTGGGTCTTCTTTTGGGTCTTCTTTTGGGCGATAGTGAAGGGGTCCTATTGAGACCAACTGAGGAGTGTAGGCCTCTGGTTTCCAACTCCGAAGACTGCATGGGACCTTATAGATGTTCCACTCCGTTGTTTTCAGATCTTCCGGTTCGTCTATATCGATCATAACGTGTTTCACTATCTCGTATTTAGGAGATGATGAAACAGAGACGTTTTCGTGATCATTAGATGCCATTGAATCCCAACCTGCAAGTGAAATGACGATGAGCAGCGACAAAAGTAGTCATAAATTAAAGCAATTCTTGTATGCCAAAGTGAAATTTAAGTTAGACAAGCCCTTGATTTGCACAAAGCCTTTTTTATTTTTATTGAGACATATATATGATACTCTCAAGTTCTAAATGTAAGGACTAAATAATTAATTTGTAAACATTAAAAAAAATAGTTAAGATAATTATTTGTTGATTTTTCGAAAGCACTCTTTAAATAATTTGTATTAGCTCTGTTCATGTATGCGATCAATATGTAAAAGCGCAGTCAATATGTAAAAGCTTAGAGGGAAAAATTATTAATTTAGAAGACAAAATAAATTAAAATCAAGATAAATCCTTCTACTAGTTCTCTAATACTAGTTCTTATATTGAATTTTCAAGCTAAGAAGTATTTGGCTAAAAAGGAAATGTGTTTATGATCCCCTCGACTCTCCTAGCTGTTTTTCTTTCGCCAAAACCACCTTTTGACACCCAAAAAGTGATTCCAAGCAAGCTTCATTATAGCCGAAAAAAATATATTGTAAAAGAATTAGTAAACATATGATATGGATAGATATGACATAGCTCTGTTGGATCGTGCGTTCTGAGTCAGCAGTATGTTGGCTGTTATGCGAAGGTCCTTAATTTACTAATCAATTTGTCTCATCTTGATGATCTTGTTCAGAGCTAAAAATTTAATATTATTACTGAAAGAGAAATTCTCCGACTTCTTAGAATTATCTCGAGTTATTTAAAATTAACTTATGTGATGATAAGTATAACATGAAACATGATTAGTGACTAATGTTTTAAAAAGGCTTATAGTATAATTAAAACTCCCTTTATTCCGAGGAGGTGATGGATGTTGAGGGGTTTTGTAGAAATCTTAAGTGACTTTTCGTATGATCCTTTTTATTTATAAACTTTCAGTTCCCTTGAAAAAATATAACTAAATTTAATTGTTATTATTTATACTTCTTTTCAAAAAATAATCGAAATTAATCAAATAAGATCAGACTCAACCACTTATAATAGTCCTACCGACATTTTACGGCTTGCTGCTCAATCATCACATTCATGGTCCGAATAGGAGACGCACTTAATATTAAAGAAAAATCATTGTGAAGTAGAAGATAGAATCTTCTCTTAAAAAATCTTGATAACAAGAAGAGCCAGTAATACAGGTTGGCTCCATGGGGCCAGGCTCAGATCAGTGTTTTGTCTTGGCGGGTTGGCTACTCTAACCCGTCTTTTTTTTTCCCATAAAATTCTCAATATACCATATAATATTGTTAGACCTCAAATTCCACGTAACATTGCCTCATTCATATTATGTAATTAAGCACTTTATATATGCGTAGTTATATAAAGAGCATCATCCATCTTTTATTTTTCATCTATTTATTGTTACTATACACACCGTTATAAGATTAAATAAATATGTGATGCTTACACATACACATAAAAAGATCTATTTAATTGATTTGGATAAAAAAATATTTAAATTAATTATTTATAAAAAAATATTTGTTAGTTTTTCTGAAATATCTTTTTAAATTATGGATTAATCTTTAAACTATTTTATTACAACCTAATACTTAAGTTTAAAACTCCAAATTTAATTTCAACATTTCAAATCAAACCTAACCCATACCAATAATAATAACTTCTTCTTTAAAAAAATTTACCCACTAAGATGCAGACTACTTTAGCTTGTATTGCTTTTAGCCCATATCATTACCAGTTTACCTATATCCGTACTGCTAGCTTGTTTTACCAGTTATAATAACAAGTGAACTGAAATTTATTATTCACTTGTTATAAAACTTTCTGATAATGATTTTTTTCCCCCCCACAAGGCCGTACGGTGATTAAAAAAAAGAGGAAAGAAACAGGAGACTCATTTTATTATCAATCTGCTTTACACGTGGCTGGTCCTACTTGTGGGGGAAAAACTTGTCCATTCATTATCGCCTGATTTATAGGGCTACTTATGGTTGTCTAGACTTCTTCAAAATGTGTGTCTTTGGACAATTATATTAAAGATGTTGCCGAAATAAATTTACCACAATGCCCTTTTATATTTCAACTCTATCTAGATATTACAAGTGATCATCATTTGCTCCAAGTGTCTTCTTACTATTACTATTTTGTCGTGTTTGTGTCATCTCAGATCTCATGCAGATCTACTTTATCTGCATCTTGTGCCCCTCTAATCAACTTGAAAATCAGTCCCACAAAAAAACCTGAAAAAAAAAAATGTACAAGTATATATGCAACTTCTTAGATGTTTCTTCGAAGTCTTCCCTCTCTCCCTCCTTGACTGCTTTTAATGCTCTCATTTTATTTATGTACTTTTTTATTTGATAAAAGATTATTTATTCCCTTTTAAAATAAGTTAGTGGTTTAAAAAAATGTGTAACGAACATATAGCAAGGTAAGAAAAGTTAAACTGACGTGTGCATGGTGTTTATTAAGTCACTTTGATGTAGTTCAGATATATACAAAGAAATTAAGTTATGAGTAGTATCAGGAAAATATAAAATGCTTCGGAAAAACATCAAGATAGGTAATATTCAACAAAATTAACAAACGGCCTAATATAAGATAATGAAACCTTCAGCTCAAAAAAAAAAAGATAATGAAACCGTGCGTATGACCCATGTAACTAACTTCACACAATAAGATAATATTATGTAAAGCTTCTGGGGGGGGAAAACAGATAGTATCACTTAAGCAGCTGAACTAACAGAGGTACTGAGAATAGGGGTTTCCACTTTACAGTGCCAGCAGTAATATTTAAAGAGATAGAAATATGGGTCATTAACAAGAAGAAGAAGCAGCAGCAGCAGCATAAGAAGAAGAAGGCAAGAAAAATACAGAGCTTATGTCTATTCAACACCAAACCCAGTAAAACTAGCTTCCATTTCTTCAAAAACGAAGAGAGAGAGAGAGAGAGAGAGAGAGAGATTGTGAACCTGGAAGTAGTCTCTTCTCAGAAAATGGCCTGTTGGGTTAGATGAGCAGTCTGAAATCTGAGTTGCAGGGAGTAATTTCCTTAGCTCTGTAGAGAGAGAGAGAATCTTTAATGTGTTCTGACGACAACACCATATGGTTCCGGGTTATTATATAGATCCATCTGTGGTAGAGACAATGAATACTAAATTAATTCCGAGTGGGGAGACCCAGACACTTCACATCAGTATTATTGAAGAGAAAGTTTAATTTGCCAGGGATTAGGTGGAGGAAAAGAACAGAAAAAAGAGAACATGCTTGAAATGAAATGCAATGTTTAATTTGATTAAGCAAATTATGTTTGACATGTTTAAACAAAAAAGGGAAACCATGTATAATGAAGTTAAATTTGTTTATATTTATATTTAAATAACGAAATGAAATTTTTGTAATAAGAAAAGAAAAATAAATTCCTGGTTTAAAAGTAATGTTCCATAAATTAATAAATATTAGCATTCTTGCGAATCAAAATTCAAGTACAGGCGCAAAAGAAATAAAAATAGATATCAAAATTTCAGTTTGTCATTTGGAGCTTGATGAAGCAATAACAATAAAATAAAATGTGATTAGATATCAAGGGTATAAATTCTTTTATTGAAATAAAGAAATAGCATTTGGAATTTTAGCTAATTCAACTCAAGATTTTAAACTTGTATGCAAATAAAAATAGCATGCGTTTAGATTTTTTCCCCCCTCGTTTCAATAAAAGGTGGGAGCCTAACTTATTGCAAATAATGAAAAAGAGCCTGGCTAATTAGTGTTTGTATTTTTCAAATGGGATATGGTGATTAAATATCCCAAAAGTGTTTAAGAAGTAACACCCAGTATTTGAAATTTTTTTTTACCCTTATATGTTCTAGAAGTTTTATTTTGTAGCATTTCTATCTTGAACCCTTATCCACTATTAAATTTGACTATTAAAGACATCGGTCAAACCGTATGATTAATTAGACAAACATAATAACAAATAACGGTTAGGATATTTTTGTTATGAAAATAAACTTTCAAGGCATATAAAAGTGCAAAAACAAAAATTCAGGTACTAAATGCTCCTTCATAAATGCTTCCAGAGTATTTAAGCACGTTATCCCTTTTCACATTAACATGACGGCATTAATGTTTTATACTCCATCCGATTCTTAATATAAGAATAAATACAATGTTAGACTTAGTTCTAAATATCATGTTTTTATCCATTTTGTCTTGCATATTCATCAACTGTGTTAGAGTTGGCACTTGTTTGGAGTTGTGTTTATAGACACTTATGAACACTTAAATCGAGATAAAATTCATCTTACTTATTTATCTTGTATTCTGTAAATTGATTGAAATACTGCTTATAAATTATTTCAAAACATTGGTAGTTTATTCTATCCATATGTTATACTCCCTCTAGTGCTTATTATTCAAATAAAAAATTTAACAATAAGTTAAAATTAGTTAAAAGTAATAAATATGTTAGAAATATAATTTTATTTTTAAATATGTTCTTATAATAAATAAAGGAAAAAATAAAAAAGAATATAAGAAAAAGTAACAAAAGGGTATGATAAAAAAAGAGAATAAATAATAAAAATAAAATTATAAAAAATATATTAAATATGTAGACAAATCTCAAATCAAAACTCATAAAATAAATTATATACCTTTTTAAATTTAAAGTTTACAAATAACACTGAGGGTATTAGTGGTTGATGAATTTGAGTGACGTCACCCACATCGTTTTCGCATGTGTCATCCTAATTCTGCGTGGCATTGAATCCACTGCATGAGGAGAAAGTTAGGTATGTAACAATAATGATGCTCTGTCACCTCTTGAGCCGTAAGATAGTGTGCCTCGGGATTACATGTTACAACCCATCTGACTTCAACCACTATATTAATTGAATTAAAAATATAT